TGGGGACAAGAACATTCCCCAGGCTCCCTGAATGATTCGAGCAAAGAGTCTGAGCACCGAAAAACTCAGGCAGATGATTCCCTGGTGAGGCAGGAGCACCACACCCCTTGGGTCCCTGAGCTGAGTAGAGCAGCCTTGCAGTGGTATAGGGGTAACCTCCTAGATCAGGAGTGCTGTCTCAAAAAGGGACAGAGCAATGAGAAGGGTGGAGCCAGGCCTCAGGTTCAAGTTCAGCTCTGCCATTCCTGACTTTGTGACCTGGGGAAAGTCACTCAGTTCATCAGTTCCCTCCTTAATAAACTGAAAAAAACCACAGTAATACCTACTTGTACTGGCAAAATTAAAATAGTAAAAACATGTAAAGTTCCTAGGCTACCAGCTGACCCATGTGAAATACTCAATAAAAATTAGCCATTATTATGATTAAATTCTAACAAGGAATATTGTAACAATTTGGCTGCTCTCTGAGTCCAAAGAGGATGTATTTACTGCCTGGTAAAACCAGTCAGTGTTGGCCAGGCAACACTGGGAGGGTGACACCCTGCTGTCCACCACTCCTGGCACCTGAGTGACAGCCTAGAAAACACTCAGTGGATGGGGTGGAGCCAGCAGACCCACAGGGTCAGTGGTCAGTAAGGAGGGAAGATAGCCTGGGAGGCCAATACAACTGGCTGTTTTGCCTTTCTTTATTTAAATAGGCAGAATACAGGTAATTCTCTAGATAAGAGTTTCTTGACACTCTTGAGAACACAATGCAAGGGAAATGCACGGTGCCATGTCCAGCATGACATGAGGCATGAGAGGCTCCTCAACCCCCATCTTTTCATGTCTTGAGCATCCTTCTTGGAAGATGCCCAGACAGACCTCTCTGCCCATAATCCCAGTGGCTGACTGTCAAGGGCAAAAGGCAAGGTGCCTACCCCGTGGGGAGTATCCCTGTGCTACTGCTTACCTTGTCCCTGGGCTGCTGACAACACATCAGTGGCACCTGGTTGCAGTTTTGAACAATCTCACACAAGGTGTCCAGTTTGCCCTGAAAAGCAGATGTGGCTGTGAGGAAGCTGTAGCATGGATGCTGCTTCCAGCGGGGCCAGTTCCCTCTGGCTCTACAGCTCCTGAGGACTCTGTCCCCAGGGACTTGCTGAAACACCAGTGCAGCCTCAACCTGAGGCAGGAGCCAGGCAGCTTATTTTTTTGGGGGCGTGATCACGATGAATCATAGCTTATTTGGGATCTGGAACATATCAGTGTTTCTGGTGTAAGAGGAGTCAGGGGCTCCTTTCAGGGGAAAGGTTCAAAGGTTGGAGGAGACATGTGGGTAAATATTGTATGTATGGGGGACCTGGGCAGGAGTTCGAGCAGGAGGAAAGAGGGCATGTGCTCGGGGGACACACAAGCAGAAGGCATGGCAGAGGACCCACGCTGAGCTCAGGGGCGTGATCCTGACACTGGGGGTGGAAGGTTGATTTTGAAGAAGTGGAAGGAGGAAAAAACAAACAGAAATTGGCCTTGTACCTAGTGGCAGGGGCATCATGGCTGTAGAACCCTGCAGGCACCTTCTCTGTGGGTCCCTTAGCCCCCCAGCTCAGAGGGTCACCAGGACAGTGCAGTGAGCTCTTCCCACACTCTGCTGAGGGGACTTCTGCAGGAACATTTGGAGCCACTGGCATTTCTGGGTGGTTTAATGGTGTCGGAAATTGGCACAGAACTTCTTTTTCCTTACTTGTGAATGTTCTTTCTGGGATTCAGTTTGTTTTTACTTACCCACCTACTATCCGGTGAAACCTATGATATTGGTGGAGTTGATGACAACCTCTGTGAGAACCAGAGACTGGCCAGCAGTGAGCCAGACACCAAAATCCTTAAACCCAAGGGGAGACTCTGGGGTGGGCACCTAAGTGATGAAAGTCCAGTGCCCATAATTTCATCTCACACAAGCCATGACTTTGGGGCCCAGGACTTTGGGGCATAAACCTGTAGCCCCTCTCCTCCCACACTCTAACCTCAGGGTCACAGTTCCCTCCCTAAGAACCCTTCTCACCTTCATTCTTTGTATGCTGTCCTCTTGACACCCACAACAAGGAACAATCACTGTGGGACATGTCTGTATGTGACATGTCTCTGGCTCCTAGAAAGAGAAAGCTGTCTGCTTCCTGTACAGACACATGCCTTCTGTTGCCCCCGCTCCTGTCAGCGTTTGGCCACTCAGCAAATGTTTGTGGCAAAAGTCAATGACAGATGAGTAGCACCCTGCACTATAACAGGGTGCCCTCCAACGCAAATACAAGCAAACTCCTGTGGGTTTGCAAATATGACTGTTTCCGGAAAGACCGGAAAATTCTTTCCAGCCCCCTTGGTTTCTCTCAAAATGTCCCTGTGGTAACCTGGCCTTGGGCTGTGTGATGTAACCAAGGGCTGTCAAGGTGTGAGCACTAGCAGGTGTCAGGGCTGCATTTACCTGACTCTGGCAGAGCCAGCTTCCCCAGGTCACACTGCAAACAGCACAGAGGCCATCTGGGACTGTGAGGCCAGTTTACCCCAGACTTCAGACCCAGTTCCCCCTNCCCCCAGACTTCAGACCTAGTTCCCCGTTTTTCAGGGACACCTTGCCCTGGCAACCACTATGTAGCCTGGTTTGCCACCCCCCCATTATACCCCAGTTGATCCAGAGCCTGTTCCCCTGCCCCTAGCTCCCTGGGCTCACCTGGGCTGGACCTTTCTCACAGCTTAGTGCCAGCTCAGACTCCCTGCACCCTCCTCAGCCCTGTAGTCCTTAGTGTCCACCCCTAGCCAAGCCCCTGCTCTGGCCGGACACAGGGAAGGGACCAAGGAAATGGAGCCCAATGCACACCAGAGGCCAGAGAGGGGACTAGGTCCCTGACANAGAGGCCAGAGAGGGGCCTAAGTCCCTGACATGAGGCTCCTTTTCCAAAAGCTCAACTCATCCTGGGGAAAGATCATCCTACAAACAGTCCTTTGGGAATTGACCAAAAAACCCCTTTTACTTCTGTAGAGATCATAGCAGTTACAGGAACAGGCTCCCCCAAGCCCCTAATGCAGTGGCAAACGCCCTGCATGAGGCTGTATGGTGAGCATGGGAAGGTTGATTGGGTGACATTTTGTGAGTTCCATGTCCTCCTTGGGCCTCTCCCTGCCCCTCTGTCACCCTCTTGTTTCTCCCAGCTCTCTGCAGGTGGGTGGAGCTGGGGGTGGGGAATGGAAATAGCCCCAAGACTGTAGGAGGCCTCTTTGTCAAGGTAATTGTGCCCATCAGGCCTGCTGACAACATCAGGACCAAAGCAGGACTTACCTTTTCCGGTTTTTGCACTGGGGGTGGCTCCTTGACAGTCTAGAATGTTAAAGAGACATAAGCACAGCTGGGAGGGGCACTGAGGGTGCTGGATGCTGGTGATGACAGGGGATTCTGCTCTGCAGCAGCAAGACAGAACATGGGCTTTGGGGTGTCAATCTAGGTGTCCAATCCCTGGGTAAGTGGCCAACAGATTCCTCTACCCTGAACCTCAGGCTGCTCAGTTATCAAAAGGAACTGCAAGCTGCCTGTGGAGTGGACAGGGAGACAGGCAGACTAAGGAGCCTGGTCCCTGGTAGAGGCCCCCACAGGGCAGTTTTCCTTAGCTGCCAGCCATCATATGAAGACAGAGCACATGGCCCACTCCCCTTCCTGACCACAGCCTCTCCATCCCCTGCAGCCCTCTCTGGCTTTCTAGTCCTCAGGGATGACAGCCCCCGCCTCCCCCCCAGGGCTTTCTCTTTCCTTCTCCCTCCTTCACAGTCATTTCACCTGGTTGCTCCTTGTTGGTTTGCTCTGTCCTTTCTCACCTCTGACTTCATCTTTCTCATCCAACTCTCTGACCTGTGTCCTGGCAAACCAGCTAGCCAGAGCCACTGCCTCAGCCCCTCCCTGCAGCCAGTCTCTGTCCTTTGCTGTTGCTCTGGTTACACAGGGCACTTGCCACAAACTATGAAGTTGACATTTTGCCCTCAATACCCCAGTACAATAACAGAGCAGATACCAGATTGTGGGCTCATTTGAGGACGTTGGCAACTTCATATGTGTCCGCTGTGCCCAGCATGGGGCCCAGCACATCCTGTCCCTAAGTAATGACTGAGGAAGAAATGACCAGAGGCACTGGAGATGTGCAGAGACCCAGGCTAGTTTCCAAAGGCACAGCTTCCCTGGAGGTTCTGTGTCTTCCTGGCCATTGTCATTTTCCCTTTGGGGCCACCCGTGCCTCCTGTGGGAACACGTCTTTCTTGGCCAGCACAGGTCTCCTCCACTGTGTCCACCTGAGTCCTTCAGTCCTGGGGCTGTGAAGCAGCCCTTTCTCAGGTGTCTGGGGTCACTCCTCCCCAGGGGCCATCGCTGCACACAGGCCTGCTCCCTGAGGGAAGCACAAGGCGAGAGGCTCCTTAGAAGCCCAGGGTGTATCTGTGCCTGGGANGTCACTTCTCCCCGGGGCCATGGCCACACACACCTGCTCCCTGAGGGAGGAGGCTCCTTAGAAGCACAGGGTGTTTCTGTGCTGAGGAGTGGAAGACAGTCTATATCTCTGTCTGCTCATGTGACAATATCAGAGCTGATGGGAACCTGACCACAGGCAGGATCATGCAGCAGGAATGCACCTGATTCCTTGGCAGTTTGTTGGGGACCTTGGTCATTGTGCTGTATGGGCAGGAGTCACTCACCTTCTTGCAGTGTATGCGCCAGATGCAACAGAACAGCAAGGGCAACATGAGCAGGGCCGGACTGAGTGTAAGGAAATATAGAGCGTCAAGGTTGTGCGGGAACTGTGGAGCAGGTGATGGGGACGTTGTTGGGTTTGTAAGCAAGCGAGGTNGGTCAAAGTTGTGCGGGAACTGTGGAGCAGGTGATGGGGAAGTTGTTGCGTTTGTAAGCAAGCGAGGTGGTGGGGCAGGTGGTGGAGTAGGCGGCTGTGTAGTCCTCGGTGCTGGAGGCCTTGTGGTCATCTGCCGAGCATTCATGGTGGTTGGTGGCTGGGTGGTAGTTTGTCGGGTAGNTAGTCATGGTGGTTGGTGGCTGGGTGGTGGTTGGCCTTGTAGTTGTGGTGGTTGGCGGCCAGGTGGTGGTTCGTTGGGTAGTTGTGGTGGTCGTTGGCTGGGTGGTTGTTTGCATTGTAGTCGTGGTTGTTGTTGGCCTTGCAGTCGTGGTGGTCATTGGCTGTGTGGTCGTTGGCCTTGTAGTCGTGGTGGTTGTTGGCCAGGTGGTCGTTTGCCTTGTAGTTGTGGTGGTGGGCGGCTGTGTGGTTGTTGGCCTTGTAGTTGTGGTGGTCGTTGGTCGGGTGGTTGTTGGCCTTGTAGTCGGGGTGGTTGTTGGTCGGGTGGTTGTTGGCCTTGTAGTTGTGGTGGTCGGCGGGCGGGTGGTCGTCCTCCGGGGAGTTGTGGTGGTTGGCAGGCGGGTGGTGGTCCGTCGGGTAGTCGTGGTGGTCCGCCGAGTGGTCGTCCTCCGGGTAGTCGTGGTGGTGGACCGCCGAGTGGTCGTCCTCCGGGTAGTCGTGGTGGGCCGCCGAGTGGTCGTCCTCTGGGTAGTCGTGGTGGTGGGCCGCCAAGTGGTCGTCCTCCGGGTAGTCGTGGTGGTGGGCCGCAGAGTGGTCGTCCTCCGGGTAGTCGTGGTGGGCCGCCGAGTGGTCGTCCTCCGGGTAGTCGTGGTGGTGGGCCGCCGAGTGGTCGTCCTCCGGGTAGTCGTGGTGGTGGGCCGCAGAGTGGTCGTCCTCCGGGTAGTCGTGGTGGGCCGCCGAGTGGTCGTCCTCCGGGTAGTCGTGGTGGGCCGCCGAGTGGTTGTCCTCCGGGTAGTCGTGGTGGTGGGCCGCCGAGTGGTCGTCCTCCGGGTAGTCGTGGTGGTGGGCCGCAGAGTGGTCGTCCTCCGGGTAGTCGTGGTGGGCCGCCGAGTGGTCGTCCTCCGGGTAGTTGTGGTGGTGGGCAGACGGGTGGTTGTCCTCCGGGTAGTTGTGGTGGTAGGCAGTGTAGTAGCTGGAGAGAATGTTGAGTTTCTCTGCAGAAAGCATACATGCAAGAGGTTTGCAGTGGGCCTAGGCATCTTCCACCTAGTCGACCAACACCAGGCACCCACACCTACTACTTTATCCAACTTCATCCCTTATCCTCTGTTACCCCATCTTCAGGGGCCACAGTGGAGCTAGGAGTCAAGGGCTGTATCCAGAGCCACTGTGGAGCCCTTGGCCTCAGTACCACCACTGGACTTGGTCCGATGCTCTGTCCCCAGCCATGACTGGCAAGTCTGAATCCTCTGTGTGGTGACACAGCAGCCCTCACTGCAGGCTTCGGCTGATACCACAGGGGTCTTGTGAGGACTGTACAATCTAGATACTCAGATGGGAGAGGGAGGGCTCTGGGGGCCAGAGAGAGACTGGGGTGCAGATGCAGAGGCAGAGGCAGGAGGCTTGCTCCCTCTGCCCATTGCCTCTCCCTGCTCAGGATCTGTAGCCCTGGGCAGAGTTCCTAAGCATCTCTGAGCCTCCCTTTCCTCATTAGTAAGGAGGAGACGAGCAGGCACTGTGAAGTGTTGAGAGCTTGTAGAAAGTCCCAGCAGAGGCCAGGTCCATGTGGGGCCTAAGGAGTGGGAACTATGGCCTTGTTCTTCATCCTCAAGGGCAGCTGTGCAGCACTTGTGGACCGTGTGTGGCACAACCCTTCCCTGGACCCAGACTGCACTGTCAGAGGGGCTGTGAGGGACAGTGGGGAGAACCCGTGCCCAGAACACCGGGTGGTTGAAAAGAGAAGCAGAATAGAGTGGAAGGGGTGCTGATGAGCTAAGCCTACAGCTACCAGGTTGCTCCTGGATTCTTGTCTAAATGTGCCTGTTGAGGGTGAGAGTCCTAATGGCAAACCTGTCAGTCATTCTATAGGTTCGTGAAGGGATGTAGAGGGACAAGTGGAAATCGATGGAGACGGGGGACTCCCAGCACTGTTGAAACCCCCACAAGCTGTCACGGGACACGAGGGTGGTGTCAAATAGGCACAGGAGTCCCTCAGCCCAGGCACACCCCTCTCCAGCTAACTCTCTCTGTCGCCCACACCATGCTCTTGGGCTAAGGTGTGTGGATGATGTGGAGCTCTGAAAAGTGGGCACCTGGGGAGCAGCACCTCATCCCCAGGTGCCTTTCCCTGAGCTGAGCCTCTGGACACTCCCACAGCGCTGAGGCTTCCCCACCAAGAGGGGGACAACCTTCCTGGGAAGTGCAGTGAGAGTCAGCAGAGAGGGACAACTGAGGAGCAGGAGAAAGAGGAGAGGCTCAAGGGTGGGTGATGACATCTGCAAAAAGGCATCGTTTCCCCAAGAGGAGGCCAGGGCTATGATTCTCATGGGTAATTTCAGAGCCTTTCACCAGCTGTATCAATGCAGTGGAAACACACTATGCAGGACCACAGCTGGTTCCACCCTCCACACCCAATTCCTGGGCCTGCATTTGGAGGGCCTGGGTGCCCCAGAGGTTCTGAA